AATTAAACATATTATGCTATTAGTATTAAATATATTATATAATTTAAAGTATTTAATATATGTATGTTACATCAATATTAAGAAGGCCTGACACTTCCTACTGCAAACCCTATTTTCAGTTTGTTAAAACTTCTCATACTTGTAATGATTTGACACAAAATTTTCCCTGCCAGGTGTCTGCCTCAGGCAGAATTTTGTGGTGTTCTATGGTGTGTTTGTTTTTTTTTCCCCTTTTAATGTCAGCCAGAGCTGCACAGTTATTTCTGTGAGCAGCCGGCCAGGGAAAACCATGCAAAATGAACCTGTGAGCCTTTTTGAAGGGACCTAAGTGTGTCCTTATCCTGAGGGAAGGCACTTAACCTTTGTCAAAGGTGTGACTTTCTTTTGGAAACCTGCTTCAGTTGGAAAACCTGCTGGGAGCTGGGTGAACCCTGTTGGAATATGATGCTCAATACAACCATCCACTCTCAGTGTCTTCAGCTCCAAACTAAAACTACCCTGCTGTGTGCCTAACCCCCAGATACAGCGGCTCCTTCCAGCTCCAGTCAGGAAAACTGCTGGCAATAAGAAAAAAAGTGACATATTTCAGCCACCTTTCCTCCTTATGTTCATGGTTCATCTTTTTCTTGCTCGTGTTAAGTGTGCTGAGCATCCCTTAATTCCTGTTCGTGCTTTTAATTCCTGAAGTAAGTCTGCAAAGGACTACAAGGAAAACTAGACATAATCATTAAATTTTAGGGCTAAATGAAGTACCAAGCTTTTCCTTTGTTTTCTGTCGAAATGGTTTTATCAGCAAGATACCTTGAAATTCAAACTTATTGCCCATGTTATGGAAAGAGGTTCTCCTCCTTTTTCTTCTCTCAGTGGGCAGAACTTGCCTGCCTCATGTTCTCCAACCTCTGTCTCAGATTTGGCAGCCCAAGCACAGAGCCTGGGACTGCAGCATTTGTCTTCCCTCGTGCTGTGAGGCCACAACACATCCTGGTGCATCCCCAAGAGCATGGTTTGACTCAATGCTGTCCTGAGAGGCTTTTCTACACCCTGCCTCTTCTACCTACCCAGAAATTGCAGATCAGCTTGTCAAAATAATGCAATAGATTTAAGATTTTATCCTAAATGTGAAGTGAAAACATAGAATTATAATCTCTGGTACAGCATCAGTTTGAATATTGCTTCCTTTAGTGGTATTCATACACTGCCAAATACTCAACAAGTATTTTTATTGTAAAAATTTCCACCATTTTTCTCTGTACTGATGTTCTGGAGACTAGAACAATTTATAGGGATTTTGAGTACATTTAATCTAGTCTTATTTTCTTAACTTGACATTTCTTAAATTCTTGAATACTCAGTTTGGAGTATCTCAATTATATTGCTTATAAGATGACAATGTTGTACATCTCTGTAACTCATATAATCATTCAGAATAGTGATAATTTTCTTGAAAAAAAAGTGTTTTAATGTGCACAGTTTGTTTTTAGTCCTTTTGCTCTTTACGCTGCATAACGGGTGTGTTAAGGGATAGAAGTATAGATAGAAATTAGACTAAAAATTAGATTTGTTCAGCAAAACTTTGATTGCTGTATCACAGCCTTTTATGATAGCATTCAGTTCAAAGCTGTTTGCATACCTTATTGAGCAAGCTGCATATTTTTCCAGCGTGTGTATCCAGTGTGTATCCTGCAGTCATTACATTTTCGCACACTCCACTGGCTGAGCTGCATGGACTGTTTTAACTATCACCAGGAACACTTGACGGAGTTCAGCTGCTCATTTGAGTGCTTCGGTTTGTGTGCTTTATTACTTCAGTGGTGTGTGTTGATAAAGTCCTGTTCTGTGCTGTTAAATTTTTGGTTCTGCCAATCCAGCTCGGTGCCATGCTGGGGGAATTGCACGCGTTGCTAACGGCGAGCAGGAGTGCTCGGAACGCTGTAATCTGCAGTGTTTTGTTAAATGAGCTGCATATTTTTGTTTTTATATACATTGCTTACCCAGTTGTGTACATTTGCCCAACTCATTATACAAAATAAGCTTGATTGGAATAAGAACATTCTCTACCAGCTGTCTGCTCTGAGTCAGTATGTAACAAAATTAGCAACTTTCCCTTTCCAACAGTGACATGATTGCATCCAAAGTTTAAGGCAATTGGTTTGGAGATCTTGTTTGTTTCATTCACTCCATGCAAACATCAAGATTAACAAACCAATTTGTTGCAACTTAATTTGTTTTCAAAAATATGAAGAGAGTTAAGTAACAGAGGAAAATCTGAGCATTCTAATAGAGGGAAATGTTTCCATGTAGAGCATAAAGCATGTAGAGACCTAAATATCATTCTCTACCTTGAAGCCATCCATGGTAAATGTAAGAAGATTGAAAACTGGAGGCCTCCCAAGGTGGATATTTTATCAGATAAGCAATATCCTAAATACTTAAAATTACAAACATAACATTCTGTAAATTAAGTGCATTCTTTCATCCAGAGTTATAAAAATAAGTGAATTTCATGACCATTAGAAAATCTCAAAATACATGAAAGCTCTTGTGCAGGAATATGTAGTTTCCTCACTACCTTTGGTGCAAAATTGAATTACTACCTTCAAGAAAGTGATTTTCTCAACTTGCCAGCTTTTCATGTCAGTTCTAGTCAAACCTATTTTTAGATTTTGCTTTTAGTGATTTGCAGAATTTGCAACATAGATGTATTTGCTCCCATTCACAAAATCTTCAACTCTACCTTACCTCAAAAAAACTTACTTATTTTTTCTTGAATACAGAGCTACTTAGGGCTGTGCAGATGACCTGGCTTCCTCCGTGCCCCATATGAAAGGATAAATGTTCCTGGTTCCTGTTTGTGTCCCACTGCTGATTCCTCTCTGTTTAATCTTATCACTCCCTGTTGCCTGAGCAAACTGCCTGGAAGGTCCAGATTTGTTTTTGAAAAATATTACATATGAAAGCTGAATTAATCTTATTGTTTTAGTCAAAATTTGTTTGATTTTAAACAGTGATCAATGAGTTCTTAGGCTTCTCATGGACCATTATGAAGGGTACCAGCATTACAATAGTTTGTTCTAAAAGAAAAGTGTGAATATAATTTTTAGTGATTTGTCTTCACTTCTACCTTTAAAAAACAAATGTAAAGAAAGACATAGAGATTGAATGTACCATTGTGTATATTGTGGACTGTTTTATAAAAACGAATTTAGACATCATATTTTATTTTGTTGGAGCACATCAATGTTAGGTATCAAAAGAGTACAAGAAATGAGGGACACTGCATTTACCATCTGAAAAGTCAGTGTAATCCATGAGATGAGCCAGATTCAATTTAGACTTTCTTAACAGAGACACAATAAGTGATTTTGTATGAAATGACTTGAAGCAGACAGATGGTAAAGAAAAAGGTTTTGCCTCTGTTTTCTCTTGTCTTCCCCGTGCATTAATTTGCTTTTAGTATCAGTCCATTACCCTTAAAGATCTAAATTTTGCTCTTCTCTTGACCTATTAAATATCACCTACAGTTTTCCCAAAGTTTTAGTTTAAACTAAGATCAGATTTAGAATCTTTTCTCCTTATATATCCACACAACTGATGACTATGTGCAATTTCTGTTTAGGTATCCTGTACACTTTTTTGCAAAAGAAAATTATTCCTTTCGCTAGGGGAAAGGAAGAGAAATATTCCTATCTTTGGATAGAAAAATCAGAAAACTTTTTTTTTTTTTTTTTGCTGCTGCTGCTGCTGTGTGTAGGCTAAGAAGGGTGGGGGATCAAGTGCACCTTTGGTCAGTTTGTAGATGACACCAACTTGGATGGGAGGGTTGATCTGCTGGAAGACAGGGATGTGCACAGGATGGGTTGATGAGCCAAGGCAAACTGTGTGAGGTTCAACAAGGCCAAGTGCCAGGTCCAGCCTTTGGGCCACTACAACCCCTGCAGTGCTCTGGGCTGGGGCAGAGGGGCTGGAAAGTGCCCAGGGGAAAATGCCCTGGGGGTGCTGGTGACAGCAGCTGAACATGAGCCAGCTGTGCCCAGGTGGGCAGGAAGGCCAATGGCACCTGGCTTGTACCAGCAGTGGTGTGGCAGCAGGACCAGGGCAGTGACTGTCCCCTGTACTGGGCACTGTGGGGCCACAGCTCCAGTGCTGTGTCCAGTTCTGGCCCCTCATGGCAAAACTGACATTGAGGGGCTGCAGTGAGTCCAGGGAAGGGCAAGGGAGCTGGGGCAGGGTCTGGAGCACCAGTCTGGTGAGGAGCAGCTGGGGGAGCTGGGGGGCTCAGCCTGGAGAACAGGGGGATGAGGGGACACCTTACAGGTACCTGGAAGGAGGTTGTAGCAGGGTGAGGGTCAGTCTCTTCTCCCAGATAACAAGCAATAGGACAAGAGGTTTTACCAGAGGAGGTTTTAGATTGCATATTAGGAAAAAAATTCTTCACTGAAAAAGATGTTAATTATTGGAACTGTCTGCTCAGGGAAGTGGTTGCTTTCTCCAGAGGGATGCAGATGTGGTGCTCGGGGACATGGTTTAGCTGTGGACTTGGCATTAATGATTGGACTTGATCTTGGAAGTATTTTCCAACTTCAGCAATTCTATGTTTCTATCCTATGATTCTATGAAGCAGCTAGAAGGTTTTCACAGGGAATGCTACCCCATCTCCCAGCTTTCCATCCACCTCTGCAATGTTAACTGCAGCACACTGGACTTGCTCTGCTTATTTTTTCATCTGGCTAGGGTTCCTACTGAAAAATCAGCATGCTAAATTAAAAACATATATTTTATATCTACCAATGCAGTGTAAAACAACATAGACATTTTAAATACTTGGAGCAGACAGGATATCCATTATCTGAGGTCTATGGAGAATAACAATAATTCATAAGGTACACATCTATTTCATATATTAACTGTGTATATATTTATGCATCTGGTATAGACAGCACATATAGAAACTCTTTCAGAATTTATATTTGATCTCTTTTCTTTTCCTTTTTCCCCTCCAGAGAGTAATTTTCAATGTTGTCAACTTCAGCAAAACAAAAAGCCTCTACAGAGATGGGATGGCTCCAATGGTGAAATCCACAAGCCGACCCAAATGGTGAGTTATTCTCTCAAAGAATTAATGAGATAAATGTGTTTTTCTTGGCATTTATACCAAAGACCCCCTTGTTGAGGAGCACTTTTACCTGAGATGATGAGAAACCTTGATAGAGCAGTGTTGTGAGGACAGGTTCTCTTTGGAGCAGCTGGACAATGTGAATTCTGGAGGCCCCTTTGTAGTGCCTTGTTTCAAGTGGCATGACTGAAGTGATGTCCATTTGACCAAACTGAGACGTCAGACCCTGGGGAAAATTCTTTTTCAGCGACTGTCCAGCTCTTAGGACAGTAACTGTACCATTTTTGGCCTGTATTAATCTCCAAAAAAACCCCTGCAAATATTATGGGAGATGAAGTGGGTTTGGTTTGGTTTTGAAAAGGTGCTTGGATTATTCTGCCTGTTTTGGGGTGGCTGGAGTTTGGTGGAGGAATGTGAGCTCTGCCGTGTGAGTTGACCTCAGGTGAATGAGCAGTGTCTGGTCTAAGACAGAGGGAGGCCAAACAACCTCATCATCAGCTACAGAAAATGTACAAAATGGAAAGTCATGTGCATATTAAACATGTGAATACCCATATAGATTGTACATTTTCTCAAAGCAAATGTAATGAAACATCTACTGTGAATAATAATATGTAAATCTAGTGAGTCTGAATGCATGCAAGACTCCCAAGAATTATATGATTTGTCTTTACCAGGAGACTTGTTTGAATATGGATAGTGAGGTTAGGCCAGAGGTGTACAGTAAGTTATTCTTGTCAGCCTTCACAGCTGCTACTTTTTATTGGTTAATTAGCAATACATTTGATCAAGCTGGACTTTATCTGGGCTTCATAAATATATCTTTCTTAAATGCTTCAACTGTCACAAATTTTCCGCTCACAAGATGGAAATGGTGGTCAAAAGATTGTTCTCATTATGTGGCTTCCTCTTCATATGACCAACAGAATGGATATTTGGCTTTTTGTCTAGATGATAAGGTCATATAGACAACAGAACTGTCTCACAGTACAGTTAGTGGATTGAGTCAATTCCAGCTCAATAGGAACATGTAATAGCATTTAAAATTAATTAAAAGTATCCATTGCATTTAGTGTTTTTTTGTAGCAAAAGTCATGTTAATTGTGTTTACTGTTTAACTTCAGAAAAATCTTTTGGGGCATTTCAGGGCCAAATTTATCAAGCATATTTTAATCATCTTTCAAAACCTTTTCCTTCTCTCACTGGGGTCTGGTATTTGCAGCTAAGTGTATTGTGTTTTAAGTTTATCTATAAATCAGATATTGCTTTCATACAAATTTTATGCCTTACTTTGGTTTCAAATTAAAGTGTAAATCTTACAAAACAATGCAAAATGGACTTATTTTTTTAGAACATAGAGGCTCCTTCACTATTTTTAAAACAGATTTCTCTTCCATTTCCCCGGAGATCTATTTATTTTTGTGTTTTATATTTTTAGAGGATGTGTTTTGCTCCCATGAAAGCGAGGAATGAATAACATTGCCTGAAGCCAGGCACAGTGCAGGCAGCAGGTGCTGAGCATCTTCCTTTTACAGGGCTACTACCACACTTTAATCCTGTTTCAAAAATTTAAGATGTAATTTTTTTCTTTTAAAATATGATTATTCTATTAAGATATTTTTATTTTTTTCTAATAGTCTGCATATGAAAACATTGTGCTCTGCTTTGAAGGTGAACATTAATTCATACTGTTATCAGGGACCTTAGTGATATTGGGGTCTACTCAGTATAATTTTCTGTCTTGATGTTAATAGGATTTATGCATGTGTTTTCCAAATGGGAAAACATATATATTATTTTTGGATATATGAGTTCTATCAGGACTGTCTTCCATTTGGATTATGCCTTTCAGAGTTACCTCTGTATCTGTTTCCATGGCATTCTAGTGCAACCTGTAAACAAAATTTTCTCTTTCTCTGTTTGCTGAAATAGGATTTAGCAGTACTTGCAGCTGCTGTTGCAGCACACAGGTGGTTGTGGTCCTTGAGCACGAGCAGGGCAATATCCAGCTGCATTGATTGGATCCTGTTTGATGTTTTGTATGTATTAGTCTTGTAAGCAATGCTGGATCATTCACTGCTGTAAATGTGCTGAGCTTTACATGAGAAGTGGGAGGTGTGGAAATAAACTATTGAAACTCTCCACCTCATGTCAGGGTTTATGTCAGCATAGCAGTTTAGTGGACACAATGTGATTAAATTAGAAAATTATATATTAATTACAAAAGCTGAAGAAACACTAAAGGTTTTAAAATCCAGTTAAAAGGAAGATTACCAGTAGCCATGGGCTACAAATACTCTGTAGCTCAGGCTTCATCTCTGAACTCCTCTGTATGAAATACTTGAGGAATTAATCATTATTGTGCCTGCCTGTGGAGGTATTTGTTCCATACTGAAAATCACCCAACTTCCTCTGGCCACACTGATAGGCACAACTCTGTGTCACACAGAACTATTCCACTCCCTTATGTAGATACCCAGTTTTGAGTTTTAGATGAGAAAGTGCCTGTTTTCCTTTTTGCATTTGAGAGATATAGGTACATTATCTCTCTTAATAACAGATGTTCAAGCCTGAGTTATGGCTTTTTGATTTAAATGAGAAGCTTCTTACTGTATTCAGGCTAGAATTTGACCGTATTGCTCACAAACCCCTGCATATCAAAAGTAGATTGGCCTCCAGAGACTGAATTTTAATATTTGTTTTGAATGTGGTTATGCAAACATGGCTCCGAGCTTTGCAACACTTTGTGAGTTTGATTCTTGACTCTGGAACAAATTGCTGCCAAGTGCTCTTGAAGTAGAGAGTGTATCAAACAGAGATCAACATTTTTGACCTGTATTCTCTTGCCCTGTGGGGTAAGATCTTTAAATGCAGACAGCATCAAGGTTCAGCTCAGTGTTACTGATGTAAATGGAGTATATCACTGTCATCAAAGCACTCTGTGTGGACACAGATGTTCTGGTGTTGACATATTCTTCTCTTTTGAAGTAAGGCCAAACATTTCTAGTGATGAGCTACTGGAAAAGAGGAAGCAGTAAGGATATCCTTGACAGCTAAGGAAAAATATAGGTTTCACTGTTAAAAAAAAAATATTTCTTTAAAAAAAAATTAAAAGCCTGAAAAAAAATTCTGATTAAAAGGATATATATGTTTTTCCCACGCGTGGTCATGGACATTAAATTATAAGGGATTGTATCAGTTGTGTCAAATTTCACTGCATTGAAGCACAGCTCACATATAGAAATACAGCAATGTGCCACACCTCGTGACATCACTTGCTCTCCATAGCAGACTGGAGAAGATAAAACTCAAGATTTTATTACAAACCAAGGAAATGGGCCATGTCACTTTAACATTTTTCTTAAAATTAACTGGTTTTTCACCTATATTCTACCAAGATTTTAGAGAATTCGAGAGGATTTTAAAGTAAAAACTACTATATACAAATTTTTAATATAAAATCTCAGTATCATAGAGACCTGTTCTGATTTGCCTGTGTCTGTTTTCCCTATTTAATGGAGGTGAAGAATTTGAAGGGAGATGGATTTGAGGAAATTGAATTTTGGCTGTGTTTATGGACTTTATACTGTAATCCTATTTTTCTTTGCTGCTTGATTTAAGTACGACATTATTTTGTTGCAGCTTCTTAATCATGATTTCACACTAAGAGCTCTGTCTTTGGAAGTAAAGGTAGTAAAGCCTGCCATGTGGGCATAGCAGTGGAAGGCCATCTAAGTATATATACTGTACTATTATATTGATTGACAAAGTTTTCCAAGTTTCTCAAAGTTAAATAGAAGAGTGAGTTGCTTGAGAGGCAGCAGATTTTCCAAATGATGAAGTGAGCAAATATTCCCTTTGGGCAGAGAACAGCTATAACTCTTGATTATTCAGTGTGAGCATTGCCTCATTGGGGACATTAGTTTTTCAAATTGTGCTAATCTTTTAAAAGTAACAACTGGCCACTCATCACCTTAGGTATTTCAGCAAGATCATGTGCAAAACTCTAATTAGTATTTATAGAACAGCAACTCCTCCCAGTAGAATAGTAGCAGTAGCTGGCAAATATCTGGTTGACACCTGTTAAGTCTTTAGACATCCATTGTATTTTATTCTGCATTTCAAATGAGCAGAGAGCAGTAGGTGAAGTCCCCATAATTAAGGGATAAAGGATAATAAATAACATGGCTCTTGAGTGGATGAACACAAGGTTAAAGGCTGTTCTGGAGTTTTGATGCTGTATTTCAGGAACTGTTTGCTTGTAAGTAATAATGCTAGCTAAAATATTATTGAGCCTTCAGCATACGGAGGATTTATGTCTAGATCTAAATGTGTTTTGTTTATAATGTCAGATTTCAAACTGCTTCCTGGCAAAGCAGTTGCTTTCTTCCCTGTCTTTTATCTCAGTCAGCATTGATGGCTTTTAACTGGGTAGCTCCCTTCCCCAGCAAGCACTCTGCTACCTCTGCTGCTACAACATCTACTGCTAAATGCTCACAACACATTGCTTCTGAAGTGTTTTTCTTTTCCAGCAAACCTGGAAGCACAGAAAAACTTCTGGGTAATTAATTCAAATTGGAATCTGTATGTATCTTGGTAAATATTGTCATGATGAGGAATTTTGGTAGACATCAAGAAAAGCAATCTAAGTTTTATGAACAATACTCCCATATGTTCCATTCATCAGAAGGGGACAAGTCTGAGAAAATCTGAATTTTGAGTAGCTTTGAGTGTTGCTTCTTGCCAAGTTTCTTTAACATTTGTGTCTACAATGCAGTGTTACAATCACTACCATGTCTACCAGGCTGCATTATACATTCTGAGACTTTCAGCAGCATTTTTAGTATGTATTTATATATCTTTAGCCATAAGATAAGCTGTTTGTGAAATGAGCTGTCATTTGTGGTGAAACAGTTTGAGAATAAAGCACTAAATATATATATAGCTTGCTAATCTGAAAGACTAAAATTGCTTACTATAAA